AACTTAGGGCAATCCTCCTGCCTAAACCTCCTGAGTGTTACAAACACAGGCGCAAGACACCATGAACCAGGTATCATTTTACATTTGGTGAGCATGAGGTTGGAAGGTTTTGGAAATGGCTGTTACTTTCTTGCCAGAACTTATTTACAGGTTTTATTTATTTATTTATTTATTTATTTATTTATTTATTTATTGAAGTTCTTTCAAGGCAGGGTTTCTTTATACAGTCCTGGCTGTCCTGGAACTCACTATGTAGGCCAGGCTGGCCTTGAACTCAGAGATACTCCTGGCCTCTGCCTCCAGAGTCCTGGGATTAAAGGTGTGCGCCATCACTGCCCAACTTATCTACATGTTTTAGAGCTGCAAGGTTTATAGCCCAGGCATGTCTATTGTCTGGGCAGGGCCTGTCAGTCTGAACCCCCAGTGTCCCCAAAGAATCCTCTGATCTTAGAAAGTGCCAGGCATGTTGGCACATTTTTGTAACCTAACACGTATGCAGCAGGGAGCTATAAATTTGCAGATAAAAACCTGGTCTCTAAACTGGAAAAAAATAAAATTTCACATAAAAGCAATCCAAAATGTTTTTTTGTTTTGTTTTGTTTTTTGGTTTTTGGAGACAGGGTTTCTCTGTGGCTTTGGAGGCTGTCCTAGTTAGCTCTTGTAGACCAGTATGGTCTGGAACTCACAGAGATCCGCCTGCTTCTGCCTCCCGAGTGCTGGGATTAAAGGCATGCACCACCAACACCTGGCCTAAAAGCATCAAAAGTTTTTCCGCAAACATTTTATACAATAATTTACTCTTTTATTAAAAGTTTGGAAGTTTTGATCACTAAAGTAATACATACTTATTTTAGAAAATACAAAATGTATAAAAAAGAAGAGTCACTCATAATTCTGCTATTGACATGCTATCTACTGTAAGTACACACTGAGCCTCAGCCACTCATACTTCTAGTCACACACCAGCCTCAAAGATTCCATATAGTTCCTGATAGGAAATAACAAATATATTTCTTAAAAATACTCAGTATTTAAAGTTTCTTTGCAAGGTTGCTCTCTACAAATTCTCCATTTTCCTAATTCCTCTG